GTCAGGCTCGGTCCAGAAGAGCCACCTGACTCCGACGACCGCATGGTGTCAGATAGAGGTGGAAATGAATATTAGTCATTAGTCAAAAATTAGTCGACTAACGTTAGTCAAGCACTTTTTTAGTCAGTCAAAAGTAAGTCAACCAAAATGTTTGTTAGTCATTAGTCAGTCATTAGTCAATGATTTTGTTGCATATTAGTCGACTAATTTGTCGTGATTCGTGAGGTGACTTAACCCTCGCCCTGACAGGGAGGGGTCGATGCGGCCCCCCCCCCCTGAGTTTTTTTTTGCGATGCGCGCTGAACTATTAGTCGGATCGTGCTGAAATTTTCAATAGCCTCTGGGGTATCCTTTGCACAACTTTTGCTAGACAAAAAAAAATCGGGTCATGTCAGTTCACCGAGCTATGACGTCATAATAAGTACAACCTCCGACCGTTTTTGACAAAATCGTACATACCGTAACTGGACGTGATCTCATCGACAAGAACGAAGCTATTCCGTGTGGTTTATGTCAGAATTTGACTGGACATGATCTTTACATTGTATATTGACCTTTCTAAGGTCAACCAAGATGATCTCGCATGTTCACACGCTGACCCCCGTGATATGAGCTGTGTTTAGTGTCCGTAGTTGGGTTTCTTGAGGTCCTGAATCCGAATCTGCGGTTCAATTTCCACCTAAACGCCTTCAAAACTGTTCCTACAAGTGGCAGTGAACTCCCCACTTCCCCAGGTCTCCGGTTGACGGGCGGACGCTGCTGCTGCCGGTCAGCGAGCATAGCCTTGCGGCTTTTTGGGCCAGGTACCGTGGTACGTGACGTCATTGAAAGCCTTTTTTATCACCATAAAAAGTCATAAAAAGTCAACAATATGTAATTTTGCAGCTGAGGAATACGCTCTTCTGAGGAATACGCTCTTCGAAGTTGCAAGTCTCTATCTTTCATAGACGCACCAATGTTGACTCGATTAGTTGGAAAGCTCTCGATATTCGCAAACGTCCTCGCCAGCGGCGGGCGTGGCCTCCCATGTTCCCGGGGAATACGTCACGCCAGTAATGACTGAAATGCAGTCAACTATTCCTCATTTTGTTGCTAATTCGTTGCGAAACGCGGTCGTGAAAGTTTCATGACGCTATCTTTCATAAATTCGCCAATATGGCTAAGTAATTTGGAAAATTATAGTTTTTCCACGAAATTTGACCTTTGACCAATGACCTGTCATAACTGGGTCAAATATTGACCCATGGTAAAAATATACCACCAATCGCGAGTACTCGTTGAGACCAATCGACTGGTCTTTGTTGCGAAACGCCACGACGCTTAGTTTCGAAACGCCAGAAGGATCGCATCGACCCCCCCCCCCCCCCCAGCCAGGCCGCGTTACGAAAAATGCCCTGCCAGGGCCGGGCGAGGGTTAACCCGCGCCCCACTGGGGGTCGCCGGCCGAATGCGCCCGGCTGGGGGGATAAATTTTACCCCCCCCCCCTCCTCCCCGCCTGTTATCTCCCTAACCAGGCGTCGTAGCAGCCGACAACATATCTTGCGGTGGCTTCGCATCGCGTTGGCCATAAAATGATTAGGGATAAAATTTGGGATCGATTTGTGTTTTTCCGGTGTCGATCGGAATTATTTACGCAGTGCTAACAAATTCCGAAATTTAGTCAAATATTAGTCAAAATCAAGAAAAATGGCGTTAGTCATTCATTAGTCAATCAAGCCTTTTGAGACCAAAGATTAGTCAGTCAAAAGTCAGTCAACCAAAATTGTCATTAGTCATTAGTCAGTCATTAGTCAAGATTTTGGAAAACGTTAGTCATTTCCACCTCTAGTGTCAGATGTCCAGTGTCCACACTGACGGTGTGACGACATTGACATGAATCGAGGGCATCGATTGAGTGACAGGGTCGATCAAAGTGTGTGACTGGGAGTGCAATGGTATGCGCCAATTACACAGGCTACCAGGACGACAGAACAGAGTAAATAGCAAACATATGACTCGCAGTTGTAAGGAGTACCTAACTTGCGAGTGTTGATAATTTTAAAAGCGTGGAAACGTTTGTAGGTATAAGTCGCCGAGCCACATGATAGATCATAACTTGAAGGGCGATCAAAATTACGTGCACCTTCGCTACATGCAGTGGGGGACGGGGGCGTTAAAGGGACCCTCCCACCTTAACATTAGATTTGAGTTGACATAGCCAAAATGGGGTCCCTGGCTCACAATTACCGGTTTCGGCACTCACAACATCGAGAAATGCCTTAAATCGGAAATATTGAATTTCAAAATTGCAGCATTTTGATTCAGAGGGGCTAATGCATAGGAATACCCCTCTGAATGTGTGACGTCAGCGCAGATATCTAACGATTTTTTAATGTTTGACTAAAACGTTTCGTAGCACGCGGTGGGATATGCTGCTTTGCGCGCAACAAATGCCGCACTTTCAAATAAAGTCGCTAGGAACAGTGGAGATCCCAAAAAGTAAACAAAAGTAAAAGTCTAATATCTTGAAAACCGGTGAATATTTTTCGATGAAATTTGGTAGATATTCGTTTTTGCTCTTTCTGAACCGAGCGACATCACTTTCATGCCAGTTCATTAACTTTTTTGAAGGTGGGAGGGTCCCTTTAAACGGTTCCGCACAATGTGAACGGAAAATATCGAGTGGCACAATATGGAGCGCAAATACCATAATAGCAGCATATCTGTATCAAAGTAGTGAAATATACAAATTGCAAACATCGAAATAGCAAAATATTAAAACCAAAATATCGGAGAAGCCAAATATCGAAACCAAAAAATATTGGAGAACCCAAATACCTATCGAAATCGCAAAAAAAATGGAATTACTAAACTTTTGAGGCGCGGAATACTGATATGCAGACAGTAGGTAAGGTCGATCAGTTTACGGCTTACATAGCCTTTGGATCGGCTTTTTGTAGTTTTGCTGATAAAGAATTTCGTTACATTGGTGCGAAATGCATAGGCATTTCCCAATATGCATCACTATTTTACGAGTTCGATAAGCTGCTTTCGATATTTGGCAGGTTTATTGTTTGCGTTTTGACAGTTTTCATGGAATCGTTGAACCCATGTCGCGAAACCCACGACAGAAATCGCAAAAGATTGGAACTATTACTCGCGTGACTTGTGTTTGTTGACTGGCCATTGAAAACTGGTCACTGAAAGCCTCCACTCACATTCTAACTGATGTGGTTGAATGCCCACTGAATAAGATATTGAAAGAATCCCGCGAGTTCAATCTCCGAATAGACTTTTGTGAAATGAACCATGGGGACGATGTACGTACATATGTAATATGCATGTAATCTGGAGAACGGCCACATACATATACTATGATGTCATTAAATCGATCTTTTGTGTGTTGATTGTCTTGTAAGTTCCCTTTCAAATCATTTTACCAGCCCTTAAGATTATTTTTTGCAGCTGAATGTGCAATTGTATTTTATGCTCAGGTGTTAAGTTGGTGACCTGGCTATGCTTACCTACATGTATAATGCTATACCTATAAGAGCTGATGCTGAGATGTTCCACAAGCCACGCGGTAGAAAAATGTTACGATCGACCTAAACGATAACTTCTGCTTATGCTGAGATGTTCCACAGGACCACAAGCCATGCGGTAGAAAAATCCTCACGATCGACCTAAGCGACAACTTCTGCTTGTGCTGAGATTTTTCACAAGCCATGCGGTAGAAAAATCCTACGATCGACCTAAACGACAACCTCTGCTTATGCTGAGATGTTCTACAAGCCACGGTAGAAAAATCCTACGATCGACCTTAACGACAACTTCTGCTTTAATCACGAAAAGCCGGGCGCGCGATTCATAGCATATCCGTGGTTCTGAGTGAAGTGAATAGACATTCAATGAAGGAAATAAATTATCAATGGGCGTTGGCGAATATTGTCAGTAACCTTGAACTTGGTGCGACCGTCGTCTCTGACGGTAAACCACTATTGATTATACTTGGTAGCGTGGAGCCGGGTGGTCCCAACTTGCAGTCCCCCATCCGCTCAGGTTATAGACGGCACTTTCAGTGCACGTTGCCTCCAATGGCGTCCATGCAAACTCGCTGTCGGGCAGCTTGGAAACTTTCCATTGGAAAGCTGCGCACTTGGTCTGTCAGCAACAAAAATCAATGTAGGGGTAGCGTGGTTTGGTGTTTGATTGTGAGGAGGGTACAACTCGCCACGTGGACACTGAAGGACGTGTAGGTAGTCACTGGCCCGCTTGCGCTGTATTTATTAACCCGCGATTCACTGGGTTTTCGGATTTTCATGCTCTACCGACGTGATTTGAACATCTTAAGCTCGGCTCGCTGGACAGTGGACTGGACGAGCTTATAGCGACATGTGACAGATTGTGTTCGAAAATTGAAATATCTGTGAAAGTCATAATTATAAAGCAGTGCAACCACGGGCGTCACTTCCTGAATAGGGATCCAATTGATTGATAGGGCTCTAATGGCTTATTTTAGGCCTTAGGGTACCAAAGCCATTTTCACCATGCAGTGCCAATAGGGTTAATGCTAAAATTCCGATATTATTGGTTGGGCTCAGGCCCTACCAAGCTAGCCTATACGTCAAAATGACATCCAAGTGCAACTATTTTTATCACATCTCTAGGTAAACTAACCAGAGTTCATCGAAGGTCAAATTTGCCGAAGTTACGCCCCTGGGTCAACTAAAAATACTCCTACATCCACTACTATGCAGGTTACATCTTCCTTTATGTAGACTATTTATTTTGTCCCACTACCCAAGGCTTTGTAATCCGCACTCCAGCTGTAACCTCAGTCTCGCGAGTGCACACAGTGCTTGCCCTGCCCGCTCGCTACCATGGCTACCGCAGGCGCGGTCGATTCAGCGGTGATCGCCCTCAGGGGGTGGGGCGGAGGGGAGGGGTGGCAGGAGTGAAGGGGGGAGTTCAGGTGTCGCTCGTAGCACCGGGACTCCCCGAGGGCAGTCAGTCATGACGTGGCGGGGCGAGGAGTCGTGCGGGTAGTTGGGACGGATGGTGGTGTGTGGTTTTATCGCGAGTCGTTTGAGGAAAGACAGCTCAGAGACTGAGGTAAGATGGCCAGAGTCGAGATGGTTGTCATGACAACGACCAGACTCTTTGATCTCGATGGGTTCCTAGGCTGCAGTTATCAGATCAGTTGTCGTGACGGCCTGCAGCTCGCTACTTGATTCAGGTAAAGAGCCATTTGAATTTAGGCTGAAATAGTGAATGTGAATGTCCCGTGCTAAGAATCGTTTTAAAAATGATTTTACATGGTACGTGTGTAAACTAGGTGTGTGATTATCTTTACTGTTTTTCCTCATTTTTCGCCTTTGTTTTTCTTCTGAGGGGTTACAAGTTTTACTTATGACACCATGACAACGGACAATAGGATTTCGGACGTGTATCAATACTTTTTCATTTTTTTTCGAAGCGGCGTCATTTTTTCACGATACCACGATTAGCGGTTCAGGCTGGCCATGTAATAAAATACTGTATGGGGTAGGAGCCATTAGAAAAACGATGCCCTCTGACGCCACTGAAGCCCTCGTGAGAAGACCTCAACAAGCATGACCTATTGTTCGGTTTTCACCCTCGGCCTCGGATACGTACTTGAAATAGGCATCGTTTTACAAGCCAAAGCACTCCTATGTATGCAGATTGAATAAACGATTGCCTGCTTTGCTCTTACAACAGCGGCCAGCCTAGCTGTTTTTGACACTAACTGATGAAACCGGTGATGCAAACAATTTATACTGTAGTTCCGTAACCGTTTGAGCTGGACCCTCGCGGGAAAACGAGCGTGCTGCCCAGTGCCCGTGATGGGGGGAAGCCAATGCTACCCCATTTAAAGTTCCTGGGTCATTGGCAGGTCAGGTCGCTCACCCCAAAGTCGGGAGAATGGGGACCTGCTAAGAACTTCTTGCAGAGAGGTTGTTCTCGTTTTTTTCGGGGCCTGATTTCGAAATTGGTATGTATTTCTTTTGATCGACAATGATGCAATACATTTGGGGAAGGTCAGGTCAGATTCATAACGAGAAGACCTCCCGCCGGTTATCTAAAGTAGGTGTTAACCACCACTGACTGACAGCTTCGTAACATGCTGTCTAGGCAGTAGGCACCAAGACTACTTCTCGAATGTTCAACTAAGTGTTAAATGTGACATCTGCTCCAAAGGTGACATTCAAGGCTCGAAAACTGAAAACGTCCGAGGTCAACAGGGAACAATAACCTTGACATGCCTTTTTAAATAACCTTGCCACCAACATGTATGGCCGCATGGGAGCAATGCATCATTTCACGTGTGGGCACAAAATGTCTAGGTTATAAAAAATCTGGTTACGAATGTCTGGAAAAACGCGAATAAAGTGCGCCAACAAAGGTAGGCCGAATCGCGATCTGGCCTGACATGGTCTCGGGAAACAGTTCACAGGTCAAAGGTCATTTCAATCAGGGTCGTATTTTTTTAGGGTAGGGATAGATGTAAGATGTATTAACTCAAGGGTAAGGAAGAGTTACCATTAAACTCTCGCTTAAGCGGAAACTCTTCCTGTGCTTGAACAATGTGTCTGGTGAATGCGGTCTCTGCTCGTAACAATCCTTGAATATTATAGGAGTAAAATCCACCTCCATGCTGGCAAATAAACTACAAAGCAAATTTAACCCGCGCACCGACGGGGGTCTGCGCCAACTTAGTACCGACGGGGGGGGGGCGGATGACCGCCCCCCCCCCCTGAGATCTCGAGAACGAAGCAAGATAGCGACAAGCGGTAAACGGCATCGGATACGCACGGACAAGGTCTACAATTTTTACTAAGGTCATTTTCAGGTCAGGTCAAAGATGACGTCACAGGGGTCGAAAAAGTCAAAATGGCGGCGCTAGATATGGAGAGGGTTTTTCTCGAATAACTTTCGAAGTAGTCAAGATAGGAACAAACTAAGGGCATCATCGTGATCCTCTTGTCAAGCCGCATCGAATGATATATATGTTGACCTCGAAAGGTCAAGGTCAAAGGTTGACCTCAGGTCACGTGACCTCGAGGTCATCATGTATATCATTCGATGCGTCTTGACAAGCTGAACACAATGAGACCATCCGCGCGGCTGTATCTTGTTCCTGTAAGGAGTTATTGGCAAAAAACCTTTGGTGACCTTTGATGACGTCACATGACCTTACAGCTGCCCAACAGCAAAACAGACCTCAAGGTAGTGAAGGTTGATCGTATGTGAAGTCATGTATGGTATATGGGGCCATTCCGACCCGTTTTAGTGGTAAAAACAGGGAGTTGATTTTTCCCCCATTGACTTATAATGGGGAGGTCGCGAAATTGACCTGACCTTAGGTCACCGACATCAAAATTCCGAGATATACAAATTGTAGCTACTAATGACCTAATAACATCCTGCGACTTTCAAAGGCCTCCGACATCTACTGTAGCTCTGGCACGGTGACAAAGTTGCAAAAAAGTGACTTGAGGTTGGGTCATTCAAAGTGACCTGGTGACCTGACCTTAAAAGTTAGGAGGTTCAAACTTGCACACCATGTGTAAAATTGATGAGAGAATAGTCATACCAAATTTCGCGGCGCTACGCGCCGCGGTTTTCCCGCTATCCGCGAAAAACCTCAGGGGGGGCGGATATCCGCCCCCCCCCCGTCGGTGCGCGGGTTAATGGGTACAAATTACGTTTTTCAAAATTCCTGCAAAAGGCGCATTTAGGCACAGCATGTCCTAATTGCGCCACATGTAATTATGCATTGACCCACGCGGGCCCTTGGGAGACAATGCTTACCCCTCCCCCCTTGCCGAATATTTGCGATAACCGCCGAGCGATTAGAGCTAGAAGCACCAAACTGAGAGTTTGGTGCTTCTAAAAAAAATGGACCCAGCCCACTTGATAACGTCACTATAGGGAAGTCGATCCTGTGACGTTATCAAGTGGGCTATAGGCCTATAGACCTGTAAGCCCTTGCACGGTAAATTTCAAACGTCACAGACGTGATCTTCAAACAGCTGCAAAAAAAGTGCTAGAGATAAAGACAAATTTCGAGCACGGTTGTTGTGAAAACTAGGGAAAAATTCAAAAATAATTTTGGTGACCTGAGGCCAGAGGTCAGGTCAACGACCCTGAGGCCCGAGCTGGAAACTCAGTTTTCGCAAATGACTTCAACGAAATGGCCCTATACAACCAAGACAATAGTAACAACGCATTCGTTTCGTCAAGACGTGTCGAATGACATATATTTTGTTTAGAAAAGGTCAAGTCTTATGTGGACCTCATCCTCATGTGACCTCTAATGACCTTTAGTTGATGAAGGTGTTGTATAAAAAAACTCGTGGCCGCTGATCACGAATATTTCATCCATTTTGAATAAGCTATCGAATGAACTATATTTTGACCTTGAAAGGTCAACTTGAAAATTTCACCTCAGGTCAAGGCCATGCCTGACCAGAAATGGTCATTTTGCGTATCAGTCATCCGTATCGTCGAGCTAAACACATCAAGCATTTTCATTGCTCTAGCATGCCTCTATCAAAAGTTACTCGCGAAAAAAGCTGTTATTCCCTTCGTGACCTGAGATGGCCTCAAGGTCATGAACAGGGGTCACGGGCACCATTTTCATGTTCAGTGTGTTATAGTTCATTGTAATTCAGTGGTTGATAGTGCTTAGAATGACGTTCGTCCAAAAGAGGCGCCTTTCAATTTTCTCCCATTTGAGTTATAATGGGGAGGTCGCAAAATTGACCTGGCCTCAAACCTTAGATCACGGATATCAAAATTCCGAGACATGCATTTTGTACATAAGCATAACCATATCAAGAAAATGTCCAGGAAATCCAGCATAAAAACCAGGGACGATCGAATCAAGCACAAAAAATGTCTTAACTGGCTAATGGGGAAGGGGTCGGAAAGACCACTCCGCTTTTTCACAAACAATTCGCGTAAATATGCATCGATCGAGACGAAACTTTCAGTAGGGAGGAGTTCCCATATTGCGCCAGTGCTTCTAATCGCGCCCGGGCCAGTATCTGCAAAGCCCATATATCGATTGATGTTTAGAAATAGTCGACGTAACGACTGCCAAGCCGTGCGGTAGGTACAGTCTAATTTCAGGCGTAAGACTACTAGCGTCATCTAGCGGTAGTATTTTCTAGCTATAGTTTAAAATAATGCCGCTAGATGACACTAGTAGTATACGCCTGCATTCAGGCTGCACCGCACGGCTTGAGAATCGTAACGTCAGACGGTCGCGGGTGGCGAAGGCTGGGCTGGCTGCCCCCGGGCCGACCTAGACGTGTCGGGACTGAAGTGGGAGAAGTACTGAGATGTCAGTTTTCTTAAGATTAAGTTTTTATTTGCTTACATACATTTTTCCTTGCAATCAAAAGAAATCTTCGGTAGCATAGGTAGATGAGGAAACGAATTGAAATTTTCTTCTGAGCCATGTATGCTTTAACATACTGATCTTTTACAAATATTTGAATGCAGTTTATCGTTATTCGTTACCTATCTATCCATATTTGATGAGCTTACAGGCTTGTTGGCTCGGTGGGGACACCGCAGTCCCTAAGTCACTCAGAAATCAGTAGTCTCATAAATAATTTGTCTGCTGTGAATGCTTTTGATTTGAAAAGCTCTGGACCTCTATAATGGCTCTTAAACATTAACTCTTTGTCACCATTTGTTAGACATGGATCATGATATCCCTACTGCTGGTAGTAATCTGCCGTACCTACGTAATGAACTTCATAAAAAATATAGATTTGAAAAAAAACATTCCGTTTTTTTCAGATTCTGCAGATTGTATCATGTCTTACCTATTTCCCTTCTTCAGGTTTTAGCCCAAGCGCTACATGTTTGGAAGACGGCAATCAACAGGCTCAGAATACCGAAAAAGCGTCACAAGATTATTTGACAGTAAGTGTTGCCCATTACCCCTTGGGTTTCAGGGTCTCGTCGCTAATGAACTGGGAGCTAGGATTGTGCTTTCAATGTAACTATAGCTATAGTATGTCATACCTTACTATGACAACATATGGAATGACTGCGTGGCGCGTATTATACAATTCATGCATCTGTCTCTGGTTTCTGTGCCATTCTCAGACGTCTTCCGAAGGCACTCCGTTCCCAGTGACGATGCCGCCCCCTGCTGGCAAGACACTAGCGACATTAGGCGGCACCGACGAGCAACGCTGGACATCGCCCTCAACATCGCCCGTCTGCCCGACGTGGAAGAAGTGGACACCATCCCCAAAGGTACGGACCCCTCTATCCCCGGCTACAGCATTTCACTCTCTTACACATTTCACCCCTCACCTCCATCGGTTTTCGCTTATATCGTCTCTAGAATTATCTGTCAATGACCGGCCCCCCGTCGACGGGCCCTGGGCTCGCCTCTGATCCAAGGCCACCGCCCGGGGTCCAGCGTCGGCTCCAGTAGCCGTCAGTGAGTACTGCGCTCTCTCTCACGGAAATAGCCCGTCCTCGCCGGACCGGTCGGACCGCGTGTTTACGTCTGTGGCGAGGTCAGCGCTCATCTCTGCGTGCGCCGTCTACGACGGAAACTGCAGAGTGAAGTGCATCCAGACTGGGACTGTGACCACATCCACCAAAGCCGTGTCGGAATTGAGGCCGCACTCTACGCTTCAGTTCAGTGCGACCGCCCGACGTTCTTCCAGAGCGTATCTCAGCCTCAGTGTAGTGTGGTCACGGGTGTTGACGAGCCTGCCACAGTGTCAGTGTCAGTGTCAGTGTGTCGTTGGACCGACACGCACGTGCCGGCGGCGTCGCGATCGATCCGTCGGCGCCCTGTGAGCCGCGGGAGGCGTGGATGGGCGTGCGTGAGTCAGTGTTCCTGAGAAGCGGCTGAGAGGAGGGTCGGCCGGCCGGACGGGACACGCCCCCGGCCATGTCGGACAACGAGCGGTCAGCATCGGCGGCCGCTGTCGGTACGGTATTACCCCCCGTTATCCCCCGCTCCCTGGTCTACATTTAGTAACATCTTTGGATCCTTGGATCTTAGGTCTGGAATTGAACGCAATTGTCCCATAAATTTTGCCTTCAAAGATTGCCTATTCTGCCGTACTTGTATGAATCGGAAAGTTCCCATTGTCATTGTCATTGCCATTGCCATCCCAATATTGGTATGGTGTGTGTTTGTGAAATGAATTAATCTTATGGTATGTAAGTACCTATTTCTTGCTTTGCTGTAATGTTGCAACAGATTGTACTGCGGCGTAAATAAGTCGTCTTCGCGCGATAAAACTCTGAAGTTGAAATAAGTATAACTTATTGCCGTTATGTAGGTTCTTTGGTTTCGTGCAGGGTACAAAAAAGTGTTAACTGCAAAAAAAATCCTTCTAGTCCTTTGTGTAATTTATTGTCTCAGACATTGAGCGAGGCCCGATCTAACTCGCTACGGCACTAATTGGCCAGATGATGCATCCGATTTCCGAATCCATTGACTTCGCCGTTTGATGTCTGAAGTGCCCGTAATTATGTTTCCCGTCTTGAGCGCCGATGACTGCCGCAGTCCGGGCGCCCTAAAACCCCAAATCATCGTCATTCGTCACCATTATCCCCTGTCTAAATCAGCGATTGTCTAGGTTTAATTTGCATAACCCAGGGTATACTAGTCTTGGCCTTCATTGCTTTGCCGCCGAACTCATGGCTCAGCCGTTCCCGCCATCTCACCCGTTATCCAGTGACTCGAGAAATGACCTGAGAATCCCTCAGCGCCTTGAGAAATGACGCTTATACGGCAATGCTTCCATGGAGCTTAAAGCCCTGGCTTTCAGCAGAGAGCTTTGCTCTCTGTTTGAGATCCTTTGGTGACAACGGAGTTCTGCACAGCTGCTTGCTGAAATATATTTAAACGCACAAAGTACGGCATCATGCTGCAGTACCTATGGCGTGTACTAAATAAATCGAGAAATGATCCTAGTGATCGTGTAGCCCTATAGTGCCGCTGCTATTAGCACCCAGGGCCCTCCTCTTTTTGTCATAATGCTTGGTTTATCGAAATTAAAAAGCTAATTCTGGCTGTTGGTAAATTCACGGGCGTAGGAACGTCATGAAAAGTGGGTGGGCCACCCTGTCAAGGGGCCTCCTTTTCCAGGGGGCCTCCTATTTTCAGGGGCCTCCAACTTTTGCCTCGTCCTGCTGGCTGCTTTCAAGTATGACCTCCAAATCTAGCTTCTGAGATCGGGCAGATGTACCCAGGGGCGTAACCGCAGAGAACAGTGCGGAAAGTCCGCACCATTTTGAAAAAATTTCCCCCTCCGATTTTTTTTAGAATCTATTTGCCGCAAACGGCGCATGACCCCTGAAAACCCTTACACAAATGTCTTCTTCGTTTCCCAGGTGCCCCCATTAGCTTTATAGGCGCCCTCTTTGGCATATAAGCGCCCTATGTATAGTCATCAGAGACATCCCTATACGTCCCACAGTTGTCACATACAATGTGCGCTTATCATAGGCATCTCTCTTTTATGGACACTTGAAGGCGCCTCTCTTTGCCATGCCGGCGCCCCTGTTTCTTATGAATGCACCCCCATGGCATTGATCAATTGCAGTCTGCAGACCTCTATTGCATGTGGACGCCCATGTATGTAGGCCTCAGAGGCGCCCCTCTTTCGCATTGAGGCGCCCCTATGGGCTTCATAGGCGCCCCTCTATTGCATGTAGGTGCCCTACTGTCTCAGAACCGCTCCCCTTTGGCATGCAGACGCCCATCTTTCGTACGGGGGAGCCGCTGTGGTTCTTAGAGACGGCATGGTGCTCCCAGACGCAGATGGGGCTCTCGGAGTCGACAGTGTGGGACCTTCAGTCGCTGATGGGTGCCCGCCAGATGTGGACCCTCGGAGACGCCGGTATGGGGCCCTCAGAGATGCCGGTATGTGGCCCTTAGAGACACCGGTGTGGAACCCTCAGATACTTCAGTGTGAAGTCCTTACAATTGCTGGTGTGGAGCTATGAATGCGCTGGCTTAAATCCCTCAGAGGCCGGTACATGGACATTAGAGCTCAGTGAGAGCTTGTGTGGTGCCTCCAGTGGCCTTGTGGAGCCGTTAGACATCAACATGGTGCTCTCAGGAGCCGGTGAGTCCTCAGAGTCACCGGCGTGGGGCCTTCAGAGCTCCGAGATACTGGTATGGGGCGCTCAGAGGTGTCGGTGTGGGTCCTTCAGATGTACCTATAGAGCCTTGAGATGCACAGGTGTGGTGGCCCACAGAGGCGCCGGTGTGAGGCCCCCAGAGCCACCGATATAGGGCCCTAAGAGACACTAGTATGACCCTCAAAGGCGCCGCTGTGTGGCGCTCATAAACACTGGTATGGAGCCATCACAGGCGGCTGGAGCCGTTAGAGGCCGGAAAGGGCCCTCAGATGCCTACAAGGAGCCTTCAGAAGCCGGCGTGGCACCCTTATGGGGATAAGCGTGTCTACTTAGGAGCCCTTGAGGTGCTCTCATGAGCTCTGTGGGGCCCTACCGAGCCGAAATATGGCCACGGCCAGTTGCCGCCGCATGGCTCTTCGGACTATCATTCTCAGGGGCCTCATCTGCCTAGTTTGAATAGAAGGGCCTCTCAGACCATCAGTCTCATGGGCCTCCTCTGGCTAGTATAAATAGAAGGGCCTGTTAGACCATCAATCCTAGGGGCCTCCTCTGGTTAGTATAAATAGAAGAGCCTCTCAGACCATTAATCTCAGGGGGCTCCTGTGGACAGTATAAATAAAAGGGCCTCTCAGACCATCAGTCTCGGGGGCCTCCCTAGAAAAGTGTAAATGTGGATAGAGGGCCCCCTCAGATTCATTAGGAATGGACCTCTCTGACTATCAGCCTCAGGGGCCTCTTGTGGCCAGTATGAATATAAGAGCCTCTCAGACCATCGGTCTCAGGGGCCTCTTCTGACTAGTGTGGATAGAGGGCCCTCCCAGACCGCCGGTTTCAGGGGCCTCCAGTGGCCAGTTATATGAACAGAAGGGCCTCACAGCCATCAGCCTCGGGGGCCTCTTCTGACTGGTGTGAATATGAGGGCCTCTCATACCATCAGTCTCAGGGGCCTCCTCTGCCTAGTGTGAATATAAGGGCTTCCCAGGCCATCAGTCTCAGGGGACTCTTCTGACTGGTGCCGGATTGAGGGACCTCCCAGACCGAAAGTTTTGGGGGTCTCCTGTGGCCAGTATGAATAGAAGGGCCTCTCAGTCCATCAGTCTCAGGGGCCTCCTCTGACTACAGTGTAGATGGATAGGCCTCCCAGACCATCAGTCTCAGGGGCCTCTTCTGACTATTGAGGATAGAGGGGCCTCCTCTGACTAGTGAGGGTAGGGGGCCTCGGCTAGACCGCCAGTGTCAGGGGCCTATTCTGACATGTGTGGATGGAGGGGCCTCCCAGACCACCAGTCTCAGACCTCTGACTAGTGTGGATAGAGGGGCCTCCCAGACCGCCAGTGTCAGGGGCCTCCCCAGACCAGTGTGGATGTTGGGGCCTCCTCAGATCCACTAGGGCCTCTCAGGCCATCAGTCTCAGGGGCTTCGACTGACAAGTATGAACAGAGGGCCTCCTTGGATCCATCACGGCCCCTTGGAGTCCGTGCGTGGGGATTCGTGGAACTTATTTTTACCGAGTTTGTTTATTCTGGAAGGTGACGACGTCCTCTCAAATCGAGACGGGGGGCCTCGAGTAAAAAGTGGGTGGGCCAAAACACATGGTTGGCCCCCCCACCTCGAAAAGTGGGTGGGCACTTGCCCACCTGGCCCCCCCTGTTCCTACGCCTATGGGTAAATTATGTGGCTATAAAGCAGCTGTCATCAGTCATTGCGGTAAAAATCATAGCGCTCATGTGAATCGCCTTCTCCACATTCCGTGTCATTTTGATGAACTTTTAGGTACATCCTTGACACGAACATAAGTAGATGTAGATATATAAGTGTCATTAGTCCGAAGTCCGGACCGTTTTTTTTTTCAATTTTAGTCGGTGGGCACTGATGACTTATCTGTCTGGAATGATTGTCGATATTTGTTTATTATCTCCCGGGAACATGTGTCGCTATTTGCGTGGCCCCGACCTCGCGTGTATTGTACTCGACATTAGCCGTGACGTTTATCAGCAGCCTCGCGTCAAGCGAGATTAGTGGAGCAGTCCCTGACGCGGTCACGGTGAAATTACACGGGAATCAGTCGGTGCTCAGAGCTCGCCTAATGTGCTTCTGTGTTAGATTGTACGGTTGTATATTTTAGCGACGGTACAGATATCATGTATCACAACAAGGGGTATCGAAGTGAGTATAACTAAATGGGACGAATTTGCAGTTTCGTTGTGCTTTCCTTTCCACAATTATCAATAGTGTGTTGGTAATTTAGAATCGTTTACATTTTAATAGTTCCAAATCGATCATCCATGTTCCTTTTCCCAAACTGATGACCACTCTTATTGCCATGGCTCTTCATGTGACTTTCATTGCCGTCATTTTCATCAGCCACTGAATTTCGCTCGTGGACTGATGACCGTCCTCTCCGCGCCCCCAGTGAGCGATGCCGGCTCGGCGGACGGCACCGACGCCGAGCCGGCCCCCGATCCGGGCACCCCCGGCTCCGGCGACTCCATCGACACCAACATGGTGCCGCCCTACGAGAGAAACACAGACATGACCGACGAGGAGCTCAAGCAGGCGCGCTCCAGCAGGTAGGCTTCCCACTCCTGAGCCGGACGCGACCCCAGCCCAGGTCACGAGGCCCTGGTCTGGCTACTGGTCTTTTCCATGGTCATGGCCTGTTACTGGGCACTAACTTATCCTGATCCTGTTTGCTGAGGCAGACCCAGCTCCATGCTCGCGTCTTACACCCTGTGAGGTTATATCATAGCTCCTGTTTGGTTTGGTATCGTCAGTGTTCCGTCTAGCGTAGGATACGAAATTTAGCTGTATGACGTTATCTTTATTCAACGGCATGACTTCCCAGCACATTGATGTGAGGCCGAGGGCGTAACTCTGGGACGTTTTCAAGGTTTTTACCTGTTTTCACTTTCATTGTGTGGTAATAAGTAGTCCTTTTCACTTTTTCGTTGATAATGTTTTGGAGGCTTTTAAGCGTCGCATGTCTTTATGCCTCATTCGTACGCTTTATATGTTCTTGGTATGTTAGCTGGAATTTGCTTTTGTTTGTTAGCTTTTGTTGCTTTTGTTTTGTTCGCTTCATCAGGTGTACGCTGCACGTTTAACCGTTTCCGTCCTACCATTTCTCTACCGCTTTAGCCGATTCCTTCTGTTTCCTCCCTCTCTTCAACGTACCGCTTGCTTTTAGGTTATTCGTCTGCAGATGGTGCCAAACTGCACATAAGAAACCTTAGGCCCTCACATAATATCTAACATGCCAGAGTAACATGTAATGCAATACCAACAAATTCAATGGGTTTAGATCAGGGATGCGGAGCCGTGGAAATTTCAGACGGCTCCGGCTCCAGCTCCGGAGAAAAAAAAATCGGATCCGGCTCCGGCTCCGGCTCCGGGTGAAATGTCATGGCGGCTTCGGTTCCGGCTCCGGCTACGAGTAAAATGGTCCGGATCCGGCGGCTCCGACTCCGGCTCCAGTACTCAGTACATCCTCTATACAATTAAATACGGGTGGAAGAAAAAAGACGAATGGATTGGTTCACGTTGCTTCTGTATTTGCATAACAAGGCTATTTTGGAAACCACATGTTTTACTGCCTTGTACTGTCAAACCGAGCAGGTCAATAATTTTTTCCTCTTCAAAAAAAGGAGCCAGAGTCGCCGCCTTTTTGACGGCTCCGGGTCCGGGCTATATTGTTTCACGGCTCCGGCTCCGGCCCCGGCTTCGCGTCTCGCGAGGCAAAACATGCCGGCTCCGGCGGCTCCGGCTCCAGCTCCGGCTCCGGCTCCGGCTCCGCACCCCTGGTTTAGATAGTTTTGTTTCGCTTTTTATTTCATATCATTTATTTATTCACTTTAGGTATGTTTATTTCTAGTTCACTTTCTAGTTCACTTTTGAGCTGAGCTGAGATATCGGGGTACCTATAGGTCTTTATCATATAACTAAAGATAAATCGTCTTTTTTCTTGCCAACCAACTCCCAATATTCTGACAGACTTGACGTATTTTACGTCCAAATCGTTCGAACTCGTGCAGTCGAGGGGTCAGCACGTGCTGCGGGGAGGGTCATGTCAGGTGGGCGAACACATGAGACCGCTAATCGCTATCTTATCTTGGTGCCGCTCGGCCTGCCCAGCCAGCCGAGAGGGCCGCCGACGGGCCGGCCCGTGACTGGAGTGGCAGTGGCGCGACTCTGTTGTTCAGTGTTCAGTGCCTTGCCGACTCTGGCGTATAAACGCGGGCTGACGGTGCGGTTTGTGTTGGTGTTGAATCGGACGGGCAGAGCGCCGTCGAGCCGGCGGGAGGCTCTGGAAGCTGTGCAGCAGTGACGCACATACCGCGGGGAGAGCGCGCCTCGGCCGGCCCAGCAGTGACGTCATCGGTGGTCACCGGGATTCCCCAGCCGTCAGTGCAGTGACGTCAGTCGTGTCTCGGACGAACTGGATCGTCAACGAGTGAATCCGACGGGGCGGTCGAGGTGCCAACAGGATGCACAAGAGATCCTGGATGGGTAGACTTGGATCGTATCTCGCGCTAAACTCGAAACAAACCTGGACCGAGACGGCTCCCAGCAAAGTCCAGGCCTAATCTATCCTTGACCCAACTAAGACCAGTCCCTTTCCAATCCATTATCCGCCCGTCGGCCTGTCGGCGCCATGCACTGCATCAGGAGCGACTCGCTACCGGAGACGCCGACGTTGTGTGGCCCGATGACCTCAGGTCACGGCGGTGACCTCAGGTCGGCCGTGCGATGGAGGTCTCTGGAGGCACTGGACGATGACCGGGCGGCAGCGGCGGCGGTGCCCCTGCTGGGCCCTCGCCGGTTCTCGATGGAAGATGCGGAGCACCTGGGCCGCGGCTCGGCGGAGACCAGCTTCATCCAGAGCCTGGCGGCGCTGTTCGGGGCGTCACAGCCCCGAAACTCCCTCGAAAGGTCGTATCGCGCGGCGGTGACGGTGACGGGTGAGGGTCGCGAGGGCAACGAGTTAAAACGAGAACAACATCGGAAAATCCGCTGTAGAACAAATGTATTACGTCGTGTGGTAATTTCTTTTTAAAGCAGTTATCTCCGTCCGCATGTCTGCTTTTTGTTGTTCTCCAGTCGCTTTACCGCACTCTATGCATGACGAATTGTTGGCTCGCTTTCACCCCGTCCGTATCTGGTGCCTTTGTTTAGGCACTTGCGCACCCACCTTGCTTTATCAAGCTCAGTCTCTGTTGTCTCATGTCTGCAATGCCCTCGGCCGCAATAATCTGACTCAGCCGCCCCCGCGCCCGTCGGTTGATATCTTACAACACACTGATGACGTCATCTAATAACGTCATGTTTGTTTTCAGGAGCTGCAGCGTGGTGACCGGCCTCAGTCAGGCCATGGCCGACTTTGACCCCTTCAGGAACCACCAACTGGACTTGAGAAAGGGCCTTCATCAGGTCAGTGTGCAAACACGCAGTCCAACAAAATGCAGCGATAAGACGGGAATGTTATGACAGCAGAATAACGTTGGCTGGTAGCTGCATAAAAAAGGACTACGACTTTAAACGATATTTCAGTTTTTATTATTAACGTTATAAGCGATCCAGGCGTGCCTGATAATGCTTCAGAGTAAACGCGACACCTTTACAGGAGTCACCTTAAAACAATGACACCCAAATCCCGATAGACATGACTCATCACGAAATAGTCCAAATGCTTATGTTTTGCGTCTATCAATTCTGCTTCCCTTTAGCCGAACGCATGGCTATTGGTATGGCCCCTCCTCAATACTCATTGACAGTTGCCAAGTAGTGAGACCCGCACGATTTCACCAGTATAAAAATAGGACAGACAGACCATCGTATCTTCTTCGTTTTATTACTTTAGCGAACCAGGTCTGAACTCTGAATGATAAGTTATATCGATTCTGTGATTCAGCCAATGATTTGGACTTTTTGACCAAACGATTAACTATTTTCATTTTAAAGCGTCCGCCTTCCGAGTACCAGGTAATATAGCATGAACAAATCGAGACGGAATAAATGGAATCAGTGTGCTCTCGTATATGTTCTTCGCATGAATTGGATGATTCACTGGCGTTCCTCACCACTCAGAAAGCCCCGATGAATTCGAGTTGTTGCCATGTTATGATGATGTGTTTGACAGCTATTTGTAACACAACTGTAACAGACCGTGCCATGTGTCAGTTACACACAAATGGTCGTACGACTTGTGTGCTTGTGGGCACTGATCTACCTATGTTGCAACTGACAAACTATTCGGTGGTGAAGGTACACAACTAAAATTGCCGAAACATCGATGTTGTTTTACTATTATATGCTGTAATTGTCTCTATGGTGAATGAAAGTGTTATGTTGTGCCTGTTGTGTCGTCTTTTCAACATGAACTCCTGTCCAAACACTGTCGGTAAGTTTTGTCTCCTACATCAGTGATTGATGTCAATGTTGTACGATTTATATTTAACTTCATGGCTACCCCTTCAGTGTCTGGTGCACCTGCCGAGGCACATGCTATTACTTTGGCCAATCGATATCAGGAGTTTGCTCCGTGTAAACTACCACTTTATTTGCCTGCTAGTGTTCACACATGTGTGTTTGTTCTTTTGGTGCGACTTACTGTAACTACGTGCATCGTGCAATGCATTGTTATACATGATATGAATCAAACTATTTGAGCGCACATACGACTTACGAGTATGTATCCGTTCATGTGGTCTGTTTACTCTCATTCACATCATTGAAGCCGCAGAGGATATGCAGTGCGGAAAAAAATACGTCACTGGCCACTAGCTTGGCGTTCCTTGTCCTCCAAGCCCTGACTATAAATTGGCGACCGTGACGCTGACTCTGACTCCCTCCCACCTTTGACTCCAACTCCGGAGGAGATGGCACGCAAGGGCGACTCTGACTCTGAGTCTGACTTCCTCCTACCTCCGACTGGTCCGGACTCTGAAACTAACCACTTCAGGTGGCGCGAGGGCCACTCTGACTCTGAATCTGACTCCGGCGACTACGGGTAGGTGGCGCGGAAGGACGACTCTGACTCTGACTCCGACTCTGACTCTGTGCAGGTGGCGCGGGAGGGCGACTCAGAGGCGATGCGGCTGCTGCTGGACTCGCTGTTGAACCAGCCGCAGCGGCTGCAGCGCCGGTTGAACCAGCTCGACTCGGAGAGACTCTCGCCGCTGCACTACGCCGCGCGCTACAACCGACTCGAGACGGTCCGGCTGCTCATCAAGTACGGAGCGCGCACCAACATCCGCGGGGAGGACGGCCTCACGCCGCTCCACTACGCCGCCAGGTGAGGGAAGCGAGCAGGGTTGTGCTCGACTAAAAAAAAATTGCCGACTCGACTCATCATTCAACTTCAGAAAGCCCTGACTCAACTCTGACTCAAACAAGGAGCTGATTTTTCCCTTGACTCGACTCATGACTCAAGCGGCTCAATGAAAATATGAGTCGACTCAAACTTGACTCAAATTTTTTGTTGAGTCAAGTGAGTTGACTCAAAATTGACTCAGATAAAAAAGTTGCTGAGCGGGGGTGGGGGTGGAAAAAAATCCGGCAGCAGAGCCAGCGCGAAGTTGTTAAGCGGGGGGAGGGGGAATGAAAAGCTTGGTTTTAGAAAGTTGAGTCAGCTGACTCATGTTCCTAAATGTTTGACTCAACTCAATGTCAAAAGTTATTTTACTGACTCAACTCTGACTCAACTCAACGCCTTAATATTTTTGTCCGACTCAACTCTGACTCAACTCAACAGCTCAACATTTTATCCGACTCGACTCAAATCTGACTCATTTGAGTCAGAGTTGAGTCAAATTTCTGACTCGACTCATGAGTCAAGCACAACCCTGGAAGCGAGTTAACGGCGGCTGGGGGTGTGGGGAGTGGGGGCGACGGCACGCTGAGCTGAACATCTTGGAGCGGATGGACGCTGCCAGTCAGGTGTGCGACACGATGTGCAGTTTCGGTTTTTGTCGCTTTTTTCTTCGCTGACTGACCGTGTTGGCAACTCACCGTATGCCCTCAGGCGTAACGTGACGCTATTAAAAATGAAATGATCAATGCTGCATGTTTTATCGCGTGGATATGCAACTCGCCATAGAAACACAAACACACCTGACTCCTCGCTCTTACCCCCCCCCCCCCTGTCCAGGTCACTTCGTGGTATACAGGGACCTGAGGGATCGCCTGTAGGTGCGAGGGCTTAGCACTAGGAATTATTCAGTGTTCCGACACCCTGATTGCTGGGGTCGGGACGGCCAACCCCCGCTCCCGGTCGGGGTCGGAATATCGACCAAGGGGCGTTTGTTCACCTTAGACAACGGTTGGTGCCGTACCGCCCGCCTTCAGACACCAGGCACTAGCCTGGTGCGGTGGTGCCAGCTCCAGGCACCAGTTAGTCTGCTGCAGGCACCATTAACTATTGAGTCTGTTCCGGGCACAATAATACATTAATTGCAGTTGGTGCCAGCTTCAGTCACCGGTTAGTGCCAACCAGACAACAGTTAGTGCCAGCTTCTAAGATATTTCACCAACAGCTGCCTCCACCGGTGACAGCACACCCACCCGATGTCCACGATATGCACCGCCCCACTCATCCCTCTTCCGATGGCAGAAGCTGCACTATTTCCACCACTGCATTAACGTCACCCAGCTTCTGATGGGCACCACTGGTCGATAGGTCAAGTGTTATTAATTACCGCAGCTTGGCGTCATGGTGGACGATGATTCTGGGGTGTCGTTATATTTGCGAACTTGTGTGGTGTTCCGAAAACAGCAAGCCATATACGAGCCTCGCCATATACAGCAAGCCTCGTATATCCACTGTGTGTCCAGTTTTCTTTTTGTAGTGAAGCACTGAAGTGGAACCTACACACTGAAATTGTGACCCGTCCTTACTGCTCACCACCGATTCTGTTTGGCCTCTGCTATTCATTCTCCCGTTTGTGGTGTTCCTTGGTACCTTAGTCATTATCGATTCGTTAATTCCTTTTATATTGGCGACATAGCTGACATTTTCTGTAGTCGACCCGACTAAAAGAATCATGCCGACCTTTGTCTTGTCGTTGACGGCATGATATTGACGGCACGACACGGCATATACACGGCATGTACGACACGGCATGTACGTACGTTCCCACCATTCTGGCTCATTATGGGAAGGTCAGAAACAAAATGTCGGCCGGATCGGCTTTCTCATTAGCGGCTCTGACGTACTAGACTCCTTTTGGCAAATGAGCACCTTTCCCCTTGAAAATACCGCTACGCAGCTCCTAAGACATTTATTAAAAGCTGTCAATGAATTTTTGAAGGAACCAGAGAAACAGTCATTAGAATTTATTCGCATTAATTACATTTACTAGACATACAGGTATATTTCGCTGAAAGGCAACGTCTTCGAATGTTATCAACGGCTGAATACCCGACTGAGGCGGAAAAGAAACGACTGAACTAGCCTCCCGGTCAGGTATATACCAACGGCTCAGGCGCTCTCTATGTCCCTCCAACCTCCTCTTTCCGACAGGTACCGGCGCCAGATGCCGTCCCGGGCGACCTCAAGTCTTGATAGTGCTGACCTCCCCTCCCTGTCCCCCTCCCCGTCAGGTACCGCCGCCAGCTGCCGGTGACCGAAGCGCCCTCTGCCCATGACCCGCTGACCTCTCCCCTCTCCTGTAGGTACCGCCGCCAGCTGCCGGTGACCCAAGCGCCCTCTGCCCATGACCCGCTGACCTCTCCCCTCTCCTGTAGGTACCGTCGCCAGCTGCCGGTGACCCAAGCGCCCTCTGCCCATGACCCGCTGACCTCTCCCCTCTCCTGTAGGTACCGTCGTCAGCTGCCGGTGACCCAAGCGCCCTTTGCCCATGACCCGCTGACCTCTCCCCTCTCCTGGTAGGTACCGTCGCCTGCTGCCGGTGACCCAAGCGCCCTCTGCCCATGACCCGCTGACCTCTCCCCTCTCCTGTAGGTACCGTCGCCAGCTGCCAGTCGCCCAGGCGCCCGTCGAAGAACGGTTCTCCACAGCGACAGTGACGCCGCCGACTCCGCCCCCCGAGCAGGAGGAAACGGTCATCGACGTCCTGGTGGATAACGGCGCCGACGTCAACGCCAAGGACGTCTACGGACTGACGTCGCTTCACTACGCTGCCATGCGCGGCAACGACCAAGCCGCGCAGCAGTTGCTGCAGTGCTCCAACGTGAACCCTGAGGTGGGTGAACGACGAGGCGCTCCAATTCGTAGAAAATAGCGATCAATGAGAAGTAGTCGTCAGAAACTGATATATATATATATATATATATATATATATATATATATATATATATATATATATATATATATATATATATATATATATATATATATATATATATATATATATATATATATATATATATATATATATATATATATGTGTGTCATGCTTGTCAGTACCTACATATTTATTCAGCGGAGATTTATCGATCCGTTTTAAATGTTACATGGGATTTCCGCATGGTGTGATATCTCTTCATCATTGATAATTGAAATATGATCATCATCTGGCGTGTGTGTTCTTCAAATTTTCTAACGTGAATTAAATTACAATTCCCAAAATTTTCTGAATCCTAAGTCCTAACAAGCATTTTCTTTCTTGTTAGATTTACCTCTGACATTTGACCGCTGACATCTCACCCCTGACCTCTGAAATAGGACCTCTGACCTTCTGACCTCTGCCCTCAGGCCAAGGACAACCAGCAGATGACGCCGCTGCACATGGCGGCCACCTACGGCTACCCGACGGTGACGGCGCTGCTGCTGAAGCTGGACGTGCCGTTGCGCTGTGTGGACGAGGAGCAACAGACGCCGCTGCACAGCGCCGCCAAGGGCGGACACTGCCGCATCGTCAGCATGCTCATCATGGCCGCCCGAGAGAGGTCGGGAGCGACGGTGGTCAAACAGGTCAGCGCGCGGGGCACGGGGGACGGGAGGGGGGGAGTTGTATGACTGGGGAGATGAAGCGGACTTCAGCCAACGGGTGAGGGTAGGTCGCGGTGGCTGTGCTCTTGGTGCCTTGATGATATTCGGGAATCTCAGAGGTTGCGAAGTATGTGTTGATCGTGAATTTTGTTTTGTTGAGTTAGGCCCTTACGGTCTTACGAGACGATTTCATCATGAATCATGATGATACATATTTTCCGAATAGAATGTCTGCGTAGGAGTATTGACCCAAAGCAAACATTCAAATGGTCATGGTGAGAGGGATGCAGGTGCCTTTGCTTTTATCGACTTTATCGACTCTTATCCGAAAGGCATTCCGATATAAATATATTTCTATTAATAACCACATCTCTTCTCAGACTCTCCCACCTCCCCCTCCCCTCCAAGACACCCTACCTAACCCCCCCCCCCCCCCCCCCCGGTTCCATGTACAGATGCTGGCTGACCGTGACCAGCGTCAGAACTCGGCTCTCCACCTGGCGGTGGAAAGCGGCAGTCTGTCCACCGTGGAACTGCTGGTGGAGACCGGCGCCGCCGATGTGAATGTCGTGAACGACACGGGTGACTCGCCCCTGCACGGAGCTGTGGTCGGCGGGCAGCTGGACATCGTCAAAATGCTCGTCCGGGTGAGTGACGGAGGGATGGTGAATCATGGCCTGGTTATGTGTGATCGCTCATTTGATTATAAAATTATTAGTTTTTCCAGCATACGAATAAATTATATTAGAGAGGTATAGAGGATGCACATATGAGATACTGTGGAGGTAGAGTGTCAGTACTTAGGTTTTGTGGCTTTACTGGTAGACGGTTAATGACGTTGCCTCAAGTATGAAGGAAGACGTCCCTTTTCAGCACCACGCCGCCATCAACATGCAGAACTTCCAGCATCAGACTCCGTTGCACCGAGCGGCAATGTACAACCACATCGACATCATCGAGTACCTCCTGAGCAGGTGGGCGAGCGGCAAACTTCCCGTTCAGTTGGTAGATGGTTCACGCCCAATATTAACATTTCCCTTGTCCGGTGACGGTGCTTGTGCTTTTAGCCTCACAGTGAATGTGGATGTTCGTGCGTAGGCCGGCACCCCGGTATGCTTACTAAATCCCTGGACACCCATTCCTTTACCTTATTAGCACTGGCAATGTGTGATGTTAATTACTTGAGCTGACATTGCCGTGTCTTAATAATACCTTGGCACAATGTTATTGACACCAACGAGTCCATTAGCGTCATATAGACCGGAGTTCATTAGTGCCTTTTATACGGCAGAACCATGGGATATAATCACATACGTCATGCATAAGCATGTATCAAGGGCTGCGCAATTGCCGGTTTCGCTGTGATTCTCGCAATCCTGTCAATCTTCCGTTATTCAATCGCGTGCTTTATCTAATTCTTCATGTTCTCTCACCTTTATCTAATTCTTCATTTTCTCACTCACCTCTCTTCCCCACAGACGAGCGAACATTGAGCGGCTGGACACGGACAATTTCACGCCGCTGCTGCTGGCGGCTTCGGCGGGTCATGCGCGAGCTGTCGAAACCCTGCTGCGGCACGGGGCGGACATTAGTGCCACCGACAAGTACGACATGACGGCCATCAGCTGGTGCGCCAAAGAGAACAACGTTGGAGCGCTGGAGGTTTGTACGGTCGGCTCCGACTCGGGGGTGTATTAAATGGGAGTCATTGAATGGGAACCCTGGCAGGGGAGGTGGATCCTAGAGGCACTACAGTCCGCACGTTGCCTCACAGGAGGATGAGGCAATGTGTAGAAAAATATGCCCTAGAGCCTTCTGTGTGTTGGATAGTGAGGTTACCGAAGGATGTTTGCCGTGATCGGCATCAAACCCAAAAGGTTCCAGTGAACCCAGTGAAGTTCGATCAGTCAGTGAACCTTACTTTTTGTAAACCTACCACATCGTGGTGCTCCCAATGCCCAATGTTTCTCTTAGTCACACTATCCGGTGACCATCCGTGCCCCCTCATCATGCCCTCTCATTTCCCCACAGGTTCTATTGCGTCACTGTCAAGCACCAGCACTAGTCGACTTCAGTGACAAGTACGACAACTCGCCACTCCACTTGGCATGCCGCGAGGGCTATCTGGCCATCGCACGTGCACTGCTCGACGCCGGCAGTCGGATTGATAACAAGAATGAGGACGAGCAGACACCGCTGCATGTGGCTGCTAAATACGGCCGGACGGCGTGAGTGTGAGAGGGACGCGGAGTGGGAGCATGTGGGATGATGTGGGAGTGGGAACAGAATGGGACCGGGGAGTTGCACGGAATGGGATGGCGGGGAGTGGGACGGAATGGGATGGCGGGGAGTGGGACGGAATGGGATGGCGCGGGAGTAGGACGAACTGGGACGATGAAAGAGAGACACGTGTGGAGTGATGTGATAGTGGGACACTGTTCAGTCCCTAACGTTTCCTACTGGGGAGCTCGAATTACTAGCTAGCACCCACATTGATGAACGCATCACCCTATCACCCTCCCCTCCCCCTGTTGACCAGTGTGGTGAAGGAGCTGCTGCACCGGGACAACCTCATCATCACGGATCAGGACGAACAGCAGAACACCGCCCTGCACGTGGCCGCCCTCGAGGGACACCAGCTGGTGGTGGAGGCACTCATCGAGGCAGGTGCCGCCGTGGTGGCCCGAAACGTGCATCTCTGGACACCACTCGACTGTGCCTCAGCCAAGGGCTGGAAGAACACGGTTAAGGTAGGCAGAGGGAATGGTGGAGAGAAGGGGATGGGAGGTGATGGCTCGTCAGCTTTGTGTTTCTATGGTGTTGAAATTTAGGCTTCAGGTATCGACATTGAAACTGACATCCAATATTTGTTCTTTGATTATGTTCTGTTCGTGACGAACTCCTTGTGTACAGATAAACCGAATATTCGCAAGAACATCAAAAACGCTAAGAACGTCTTTCGGAAAAGTGCATAAGTCATTAGTTCTTTTAACAGTGCGATCATTTTATTAAATATCCGTTACCACAACTCATAATTTAATAATGCCTGGGTGTCTATGAGCTCAGCCTACCGTCCGCTCCCCAATACCAGTCACCCAACCTACCTCACAGATCTTGTTGGCCAACGACTCCCCTGTGGACCCGGTGGACAAGTCCAAGACGACGCCGCTCCACCTGGCGGCCAGGGAGGGTCACCGCTCCGTGGTAAAGGTGCTCCTGGAGGCCGGCGCCCTGCTCAGCGCGCGAGACGGCAACGGAAAGGGCGCCCTCGAGCTGGCCATTCTCAACGGCCACAGGTGGGTTGATTGGTGGGTGGAGGGGAGGGAGTATGGCTGGGACGGTAGCTGATGATTGATAAGAGAAGACAGTAAACACAGTTAGAGAAAGGCACAGACACAAGTCTGTAGCACGTCAGGCTATGGCTCATGCAAGGCGGTAGGCTCATACAAGCCCGTGGGTTCATATAAGGCCGTATAAAGGCTCATAGTTCAGAATAGTGTATTGAATGGTCACAGTTGGCCGCCGTAGAAGCGATTAAATTACGGTTAAATCAAAGAGCACAGGGACACCATAATTGATATGTCTCCGTGTCAGGCTTACCTCGGGGCAAAGGCTTTGGGTTCACTAATTGATATGCGTTAAGTATATTTTTTCCAACACTTCCTGTTCGAAGCCCAAGTCTACGTACTGCTAAGGTCTCGCCACCCAATGACGCACGCACGCCCGTTCCGCAGAGACGTTGTGTCGACAATTCTGCAATCAGACCAGTGGCGTGACGCGCTTAATAACGTGACGCAGTCGGCGCGTAACGTGCGCGTCACACCGATCCGTCTGCTGATCAAAAAGTACCCCGACCTGGCCGAAGAGGTGTTCAACATGTGCACCAAAACCAATGGCTTGGAGGTGGGTGTGAGCGGGGTGGGGGAGAGAAATACGGCGAGTGGAGGGGAGAAATATGTTAGATATTACTGAGGAACTTAGGAAAGGGCTTCGCTAAATGTATTTTACATGGCATATAAAACATATAATGCAGGAGTGTAGGAGATATATATGTCGTGGTTACAGAGAAGGAGAATAGGAGGCATTGCTCCTATCTAACTTACGAGTCACTTGCATTCTATGAGTTGTGTGCTATTGCTCTTGCATTCGCTTGTATGTTTATAGTTCTGTCTGCCGAAACCCTCATTCCTCCTAATAATAACTAATGTGCATCTTATGAGTCCCTGACAGCGTATCCGCCATTCGAAGCCTCTAGCATAATAATAGTCCCTTTCCGAAAATGATGATGACTCGTTGCTGGCTGCCCGCAGCTGAATGACAAGAACCTGGCGGTGACGTTTGACTTTGAGTTCGTGGACGACACCTACTCCTCCGTGCAGCCGCCGGAGGACGATACAGAGCTCAACGTCCGGGATGATACCTCGAATGGCGCAGGTCAGTTTATGTTCGAAAACGCACGCTTGTGGAGGTCGGCCTCTACCCTCTATTTCCTTGAGCCGTTGGAAATATGACATTGTCCTTACGAGCATCTCTTCTCTTGAAAGCATGCTCTTGCTTCTCTTGCATTTTTAAACCCCTTGAAAGCATGCTGAGTGAATTTGAGAAGTACCCTCGGCCACCCGGCCTATAGTGATCAGTCAACTCATTATCAGTGATGTGTCCAGGCTCAAGTGCCGTTGTCGTTAATTATCGGCTGCCATTTCCTGCTGCAGGTGACGCGCTCTACCACTACTCCTGCTACGCTGACGACGGCACGGTCAAGGACTCGGCTCACCCCTACACCATGGACTCGACGGTCAGAAAGAACAACCACCCGCTGATGATCATGGTCCGCGCCAAACGGGTGGTAAGTAGCGAGCCCTTATCACGCCCCGGGACCTATGTCTTTGTGTTGGTGTCCTGGATGTTCCTCGCCAGCGTGTGATAATAAAGCGTTTTGCTGAGCGTTTTATGCTTCTTTCTACCTCACCCAGACATCACAGGATGCTTGTGGGAAGTCTGGGATTGCAAACATTCCTATAGATTTACTTGAAAATGGATGTTGTCATCCATGGTATTCTTAGAATAAGAGTAGACAATTGCTGGACTGCACCGCTTGTCTTCTGCAAGGATTCATTAGTGTCACATTATGCTCGTTTCATGCGATTCTATCCCCAATGTGCCGTCCCACGCTGTGCTCCCCGTTTCAGGCGCTGCTCGGCCACCCGCTGTGTCTGACGCTGTTGCACTTCAAGTGGCACCGGCTGGCGCGCTATCTCTACTACGTCAACCTGCTGCTCTACATCACCTTCCTGACCTTCCTCACCGGCTACCTCATCTCCACGCCGCCGCCGAACGCCTACACCGACAAAATAGCGTTAGTGATCGTCGCGATGTGATCGAATCAGGGGTACTACCGTGTTCCGTTTTATCGTTAATGTTAGGTATACTCGTATATTAAATCGAAGAAAAGCTGACAAACTGTTGAAAATGGACTCATGAGCTATAGCGGTTGTTAAAAGATTGCCTGATTGTTCAAGGACTACGACTCAGATCATATTTTGTTCTACATTTCCCTGACTTGCTTTCCTAAAAATCTGCTTTAAGTCGACCGTGGGTCACATCATTATATAATCTATATGCCACCCGAACTCGCCGACCAAAAATTTTTAGAATCCGGATGTTTATTATTCAACACCACCGTTCCGTGCTTCTATCCTCAGGATACTGAAATCCTTCTCCTCCACGCCGCAACCCACCTCCGGGCTGGACAGGCAACTTTATCTCATGCGGGCTGCTCCCTTGGAGCGGCACCGCTGCTCTCGAGGGAGCGCACCCCGTAGCCGGGTGCAGTGAGTGCCTTGGGGCTGGGTGGCCTGTCCTCTGGACGGGCTCAGCCCCGGCGACTCACTAGGGTGCCTGCCCAGACCAATGTCTCCCCCTATATCCTATCATCCTCCCGGCTCTGAAATGGTCTCATTGGACCGAAAGGGCCTAACCCAACAAAACAAATTATTCAACGATAGTCGAAATCTCGCAAACGGGAAATGTCTGAACGTTGCAAAGACAGTCAATATTTCTAGCTGGTTGTTACGAATGGCCCGTCACTTTACGACTCCATACACCCGTCTCTCGCTCACAGGACAGCCGCCGACGCGATGTTGGACTCTGCTGTCCCCGAGGCGCCCCCGAACAAGACCTTCGTGGCCTGTCCCGAGATCCGCGCCTGGCTTCACGAGGAGCAGAACCTGTTCGCCAGCGTGGGCCGCTACGTGATCACGGTGCTGGCCTGTCTGCAGCTGCTCAAGGAGCTGGGCCAGGTGTTCCAGGTAGGCAGAGCGGCGGGAGAGAGGGAGAGAGGAGGAGAGGGAAGACGTCAAGGCCGTGGGAAGGGGAGAGAAGTGGGAGCCGCATTTTTTTATTGAATACATTGTGTTTAAGGAGAGTTGAATCTGAACGGAACAAAAACTATTGCGTTTACTCGTGGGATACTTAACTCGTTGTTAACGTGGATAAGTAAGAACATTTTGTGATTAAATATTGCAATGATTTAATAAATAGCTGCCTGTTGTAAGCATCATATAAAAAGTAGCTGATAGCTTTAGTATGGCTCTCATTTATCCGGTACTTACACATGAGCAAATCAGGTGCACACTACAATCAGATTTGCGAAAGATATGCAAACTTCGCTTGTAGTGCGCATTGACTTGCTTGTATATGCGTAGTTATTGCTCTTTAAATCGAATTCAAGCAATAATCGAGAGACAGGCTCACTACTGACCCTGCTCTCTGCGGTATCCCTAGTACATGTACTACTTGAGCTCGTTGGTAAGGGAACGACAGGTTTGGCGCGCAGTGCCTCGGCTTGCTTCTGTTTGCTGTGAAACAGGCCTTGGTTTGAAGAAGGAAATCCATTGAGAGATGGGACACTGTGTGCGTGTGTGCGTGGGGTTTCAACATGCTTGCAGTCGCTCAGTTGAGTATGACACTTCAAAGACTGACATTGTATATTGTATATACAGGGATGAGCTCACTACAGTATATCAAAGCCACATATACATACTTATTTATCGGTTCTGGGACAGTTTATCGATCATATTTATATCGATATCCGAGTAGCGAGCCGAATATCTGCTGATACAGAATACATATCCATTCATTCTCCATGCACCTTGCGACATTGCCGTCCGAACAGTTCAGACGACACTTTGTTGATAGACGAGGGATGGGATAAGAGATTAGGTTAGCGCTTGGCGGCCACATTCTGGCATATGTGTACCCGCATGCTGATATCCTCTACCCCGCAGCAAACTTCCTGATCTGCCTTACCAACTAAAGTCAAAACGCTTCGCCCAATAAATGTGTTTGCTGCGTGCTGCGCGACTGAAGCGTTACAAGTTACAACAGATAGGCTTGGAATGGTTAATTACCGACGTAGTATTTGACGTAGGCATTTATTGAACATCGCTATGCTTGTGTAATTTCTTGATGGGTTACGCTTTGATTGCAGGATTGTTTCTTTGATTTAACCTTTTTCATTTTTACATATATACGACCTTGCCTGCTAAACTAAGCATAAAGTCGTTATGCAATATTTACGGGAATTTACGTACGTTTTTTTCAGAAGAACTCTTGTGTAGTCCGTAGACATGCATGTGTGCGTGGATAGTTCCCTGTTAGTAGATAAATTGAAGTCTGTGCCGCATCATATTATCCTTTCCCTACGTGTAGGTGCTCATTTACGAGTACCGGCCGATCGTTTTTAGCGGCGCTTTGACGCCGATGTCCGAGTCTCCGATGTCTGATTGTCCAGTGTCCAGTGTTCTATGTCCAATATCTAGTGCCCGCGGTCGCATGTCAGCCGCCCGTGCCGCCCACCCTACCCGCTAACCAGTTTCGATTGACGTTCCAGCCGTTTCGCGAGCGGAAGGTAAACTCGGGTTCGCCGTTAGCACACGACGTTTTCAGTCATCTCGATGTTGCACACTCGATGTTTCGGTGGTGATTATGGCTGTGTCGATGTCAGGTGCCCCCTTTCACCTCCCCCCCCCCGCTGACTGGTCACACGATATGATAGCGACTCTAGTGTAAGGATATGACTAAACTGTGACAAATTATGATGTGCGTTTAGGTATAGCCTACCGTCGGCAATCGTGAGATACGGCACAGCTTACTGCTGCTATGTCAGGCTGTTAACTTGAAGAGATTTGTTGTTTCCAAATTCATAACCTAATATCTACTCACTACGTATCACAGAGTATCTATTATCCATCCGACAAAATTATAAACCGACACCGTTTATTTAAGCAGAGGGTCGTTGTATGCTTATTCTTTCCGGGCTCTTGGATCGAGAGCGTGTAGCGTCAGAACGCTTCGTTTTATAGATATGGAAGGATGATAAATCGATGTTTGCGATGGTTACCACGATGGTTACTAAGCAGTGTGTTTCGTCGTTCACGCTCAAGCCACGATGATGTTTGCTTGCTGGAGTTACGAACACCGACGGCACGGGGCACTGCTTTGCAATATGAAAGTGAATTTGCCCAAACACTGACATGTGTGAACGATTCATCGCACTATGCTACGTACGAGCGTGCTGACGGTGCATCACTTGGTCACCTGGTCTGCCCATCGGCCACGTTCATTTGACCACCATCGCGCTTTATTGCGTGTAGGAATGAATGCGTTCAGGTGACTCGTGACAAACTTCACATGCATTTCATTACAACGCTGCCGACGAATATTGTATTTATTTATTTCTGCACTGGTTTCATGGTCAATCACTCACACATACGAGCACAAGCACCAGCTTTGAGCACTGGAAAAAGACGCCTGGATATACCAGTTACGCACATGCAAAACGGTTCACGAGTTATGTACCACTTCGAATGAGCTTGGGTCGGATTTATTTTAATGCACTTAATCATGCATCCCGGACGTAGGTAAGATATATTGACCATGATCGGCTGTAACCGGCCGGCAAAACTTTTTGACGTTACTCGTATTCATCGTAACCGTTTTTGGAGTTTCGCCGTTTCTTGCGTATTGACTCACGTAACTTTTTAAAACTCGGTGTCTGATCCTTATGCCTCTGCCGTGATTGAGGGCTAAGCCTTTGCAACTATTTGGAATCACTTGAATATTGCAAACGAGCTCGCGAAGACTATCCCGAGTGTGTTGTGTATTCTGTGTTTATGTGACTATCCAACTCGACCCTCGTTCCGCATCTCCACTGTGTAAACATGACCTGTCTTTACCGTCTAAGCATAGCCCGACGCAGCTTATGTAACATCACCTTACCGACCTGGCCTTATCCGCAGCACCCTGCCACACCCCACGCCGCCCTCCTCGCAGCTCTGTCGCTAACTCGTTGCCGCCGCTATCTCAGGCTCGTCTTCACTATTTCGGCTGGAACAACACTCTGGAGTGGACGTGCTACGTGTGCGCCCTGCTGCTGGTCTGGGACTTTGACGACTGCTCGCGGGACACCGGCGTAAGGCAGGTCAGTTTAGGGGTCAAATGGACTAGTTTTGGGGTCAGTCCGTGGTCAAATGGATCAGTTCGGGTCGGTTTTGGGGTCGACTGCGTCAGTCCAGGGTCAAAGGTCAAAGGTTTGGGGTCAGTCTGGGGTCAGACAGATCATCAAGTCAGTTTGAGGTTATAAGGTCGGTTCGGAGTCCGATGGGTTAGTCAGGGATCAGCCAGGTTAGTTCGGTAGCAGACATATCAGCCGGTCCGGTTGGTGTCAAACGGACCTGGGTTTGGCGGACTAAAACGGCAGTCTAGTCGGAGTCGGAACGATTAGCCGCGGTCAAGCGGCCATTTGAAGCCAATGGGTCAGCAGGGTCAGCGGGTCATGTCAAGTTCCGGCAGGTCAATTTGAGTCCGAAATGTCAGTTTGAGTGTCCGAGGTACGAGTGCGTCGCACAGTTTGGTCGGGCTCTTACATGTTTGTGTTTCAAACCTGTCAAGTCTGACAACAGTGAAACCTGATTGTTTGACTGAGCGGTGTCGTTTCGCTGAGCATCGTTTATTTTTCCCGAACTGTGTTCTATCGCAAATAGGTATGCTTTTGTTTGCGCCTTAAGTGATCTGAATCCGATTGACTTCAATGTAGATGGGAATGCGGCATCCAGCGTCATTTTGCTTCTCTGTTTGTTATTATCGCCGTTGTTTAAATGTGTTAGCTGTGTTAGTTGCGACCGTAAACCTGCAGCTCTACGCCCGGTTTTCAGCTGTGGCAGTGGAACGTCGGCGCGGCGGCCGTATTTCTCGGCTGGATGAACCTGCTGCTCTTCATCCGCAAGTTCCCGGTGTTCGGCATCTACGTTGTCATGTTCACTGACGTCCTCTCCACGTTCAGCAAGTTCTCCGTCGTCTTCTTCCTCTTCATCACGGCCTTCGCCATCAGTTTCTTTGTCCTGCTTCAGAATCAGGTAAGGCTAATTCGAATCGGAAGAAAAGTGCATTTTAAATTGATGACGAAGCTTCTTGAGGCGTGGCAAAAAAAACGTTACTTACTACTAACACTCTTATGTCACGTACCTAGGTACATACATGTAGCCGTGTCATATTCATTGTTTTATATTCCTCGATAACGTCTGCTTTTTTGCTACTCATCACACAAATCCTACCCATGAAACATTTCTATCCCTGTAGCATGAAATTCGGAAATTGTGCTTTATAGTATTATTGACAAGTGTTGCGTACCTATTTTGCTGATCCATGATATCTTATTTTTCAGGCGGAGTTTTCGTCTGTGGGAAAGTCGCTGCTGAAGACGGCGGTGATGATGATTGGCGAGTTCGACTACAGCAACATCTTCTTCGACGACTCGCAGACGGTGCCGTTCCCGGAGGTCACCTACACGCTGTTCGTCGCCTTCCTCATCCTCATGTCAATCATCATCATGAACTTGCTGGTGAGTTGAAATGACGATGTGTTCCTTCCCAGAGTGAAGTAGTGTGTCTCTTTTGGGGCCTCATGCGAGTCGTTTTTGGCCAGACTATTAATTCCTCTCTATCGAACGGCTAATAAGATCGAATTCGCACTGTTTGAAAGTAGCTTTTTTTCGTGGCACCATGCGTCCTGAGATGACTTTTTTTTTTTTGCTCGTTGCGTACATTTTATGCCATGCGGTACAAAATGACTCATATGCTTTGATTTGTATCCGTCAGTATATCACATGGCTTTGCTATCAAAATGAATGACATAAGAGCAAAATCACTGGAGTGTTGTTTCCCCGTTTGAACTGAGATCCAACCGCCTCTCCCCTCTCAGGTGGGTCTAGCTGTCGACGACATCAAGGCCGTCCAGGAGCAGGCGTCGCTGAAGCGGCTGGCGATGACGGTGCAGCTGGTCCTAGACGTCGAGTCCATCCTACCCGACTTCATCCTTCGGAAGCTCACCGTACGCACAATGACCATCTACCCCAACCAGCGCAAGAAGAACTTCATCGCCAAACTGTGGCGCGGCGACTTTGCCATGAAGGAGGTGGCCGAGAAGATGATGGCCGACGCCGAGAAGGTGGGTCGAGGGGAGGGTGCTGGGGGTGGGAGGGTATACTGATGTGCTCTGGGTATGGGACAGGCCTTACATGTAGCGTTGACACAGTACATTATGAAACAGTCAGGACGCCAATATTTTTATTTCACTCAGGTGTCGTAGAGCTACAAAAAAATTAATTAGGTGTTTCATAGTTTTGGCCAAAATATCGATAAGACCACGTTACAGCCTTACGTATTACGCGTTACGTTTCAATGAAGGTATCGTCTCTGGTGCTTCGATACGTACTTAAGTGCTCGGGGAGACATATTAGTGACGCGTTCCGTTCTGTGCCGCGCAGGTTGGCGCTGACCTGGCTCAGGAGACCACCCTGCACCAGCTGCAGAGTCTGAAGACGGAGGTGCGCCTGCTGGCCGACCAGCTGCAGACCATCCGCGCCATGACTGAGGCGCTCATCAGGAAGAACGACATTGACTGGGAGGCCGAGGACCGCTATCAGTTCAACTGAACTGCCGAGAGTCGTTAGGAAGTTCAACTGAACTACCGAGAGCCGTTGTAAGTTCAGCCGGACTGCCGAGAGCTGCTACCAATTCGACTGAACTGTTGAGGACTAGGTGCACTGGTAAATTTCAAATGGATTACAAAGGTCAGGACAACCTCATCTTCAAGACGTTCACGAAGCAACCATACCAGGACAGCTCCCGTGGAGGCTGTTTAGTTCCTTTCCGCACCCGGTAATCGGTTTGTTCCATCCAGTACCATTTTCCGCTTTATTCAATCACGTATACTATGCGGATCAAATAGGTGTTAATTTATAGATAGCTGGATATTAATTTCTAGATAACATTTGTATCTGACTGCACACTACATATAATGCAGTAATCTAGTATTGGACCAACTTCTGATGTCACATGTCATGGTTTGAGACCTTTTAAAAAAAGCCTCAAACCATGCCAAACCACCTTCTTGCGGTGCAAAAAATCTCGAAAAGAAACCATCTACCTTACACAGTATTTGATTAGAACTGAATGGCTCCAGAACGCCAATTATTAGGTTTCTAGGGAGAGTAGCCGCTTTTCGGCTGCGATGCGTTGTGCTGTTGTTTGTAGTGCCAGACTCGTGCTGCCTTCGTGCTGTTTGTGGGTTGACCTGGCTGGCTGGTGCCTGGTGAGGGTACTGCGCTGGTTCGCCGCGGCCAGTGAGAAGAGGCCTCGACTGTGCGGGCTCCGTGATACGTTGTGTGAAGCGCCTTCCCAGTTTCACTGTTTTCTGCGCACAATGTAGCTCTGCGAAGCCAGTAGGTTGAGAAATGAATAGTAGATAGCTCCAGCAGTGCATTTTGCGCATTTGTATACTTGCACATTTGTTCGGTGCCAGTGGTCGTGAGATTCGCTTTTGAACGATCAGTGATTGTGTAATGAGATTACATTTTTTCACCATAGTATGCATACAATTTTGAACGCAGGCTGAGTTCACTGGCGCACATTCCTCAGCAGCAGGTGTTCCTGTCCCGACCGTCCTTTCCCTCTCCCACGCTATGCGCGAAACAGCGAGGCATTTCGCCCCAAAATGGCGCAGCAAATGGAGCCGCGCAACAACGCAGCCGGGAGATTAGAGGCGACCGAGGCGTCAGTAACGACTGAAACGAGTATCCATAACCGGACTAACAGCCATTCAGGATGCTCCCGGTAGCAGAGGCGGATCGGCCAAACCTTCCCGAAGTCACGTACTAGAAAGAGGACGCCAACAAATGGCGCGGCCCACCTCCGGCTTCAGTAATTAAGGAGGCAAGTGGCATGCCAAACGGGAAAACAAGGGAAGAGTGAGCAGCAAACACATTGCAACAGCAATCAGCGGGCCAAATCAACAACGACAATTGCACGACTGAAACCACCATTCGAAGGCGAATCCGTAGATACCCGACAACCCACAATCAAATCCAACCCTTGCATAGAAAAACCATCAGGAGGAGACAGGGATCATTGCAAGACATAAAGCTATGCGGGGAAATTGTCGGCACTGCAAACCAAAGCTCCGAAGCTAAATGAGAACGGTATACTATTCTCTGGTTCAGGATGTTTATAAACTCAACGGAAGAAAGACAACCGGCAAGGAAGAACAGATGAATGTACAGTTGACCCAATGTACAGTTGACCCGGTTGCACGACCGCCGGCAAACAGGCTGAAAAAAAGATGTTTCATGATACCGGCTCGGCAGTACACAGAAAATACGCAAAACATCGGCGGAAGAGTGGTAGTATGAACGGAACCAAATTGTCTGAGTTGATGAGCGGCTTAGTAAATTACATGCAAAATAGCGAAATCACAATCAAGAACTACTAAAAGAAGAGAAATCGCCCGTGTAGCTCAAAACAGCTAAATCAACAGAGAAGGAATTCGCAAAAAGTTGAGTCCTCACAAAAGCTCACCAAATCTGAAGAAAAGTTAACCGGAAATGAAACCAAGACGCTGCAGAAATTCACTCAACCTGCAAAAAGGGAACCGGTTAATTGCACATTGGAAGGATCCGCCGAATATAAAGAGTGGGTCAGGTCACCAGAAGATAAACGTGGAACATATCTTTTTACACAGCTGAAACAAATTCAGAAGGGCCGGCTTTTCACGGAATGGATCGAGAACTGGAGATGAAATCGTTGCGCGGCAGAAAATCACCCAACCCCAGTGCTGCAACATGTCACTTGTAAATTGCAAGGACCTGCTGTTTACCGAATGGATCAAGTTACCAGAAGATGAACGTAAAACCCAGCGAGTGGCCGCATTCCGGACTTCTCGAAATCATCCACTTCAGAAGCCGGAACGAATAGCCACGCTAACAGTTTTCCGTTTAAACCAGCAAAGATAAAACATCTGTGAGAGATGAACATCCAGGGAGCTTGACTATGCGTCAAATTGAAGATGAGGCAAATATTGGATTTCGCCATGCCGAGACACGAAAGAACAGCAATTTTCTCATCAGGGAATCTGGAGCGGTTTCTGAAGAGAAGGCCAAAACAAGCAAAGATGAGAAGTGAAGACAAATTTAAAATCAATCCGAGCTGAAGTAAAATTAACGGATTACAGCACAAGAAAAACCCGATAAAGAATGGGAAGACCACAGATACAGCAATACTGTCAGGTCATCCGCCTACAAAACCAAGCAAACGCCTCCAGAAAAGGATTTGCAATTGCAACTTTCGTGAAATGGAACAAGAAATTTGTATAACTAAGGCCAGAATCAAGCGAAGGAAATTCACAAAGAACAGAATATCTGAGCACAAGGCCCCTCGAAATCGCGAGAAACCAGCAAAATGGCGTCGGTGAAAGGCGAAAGATCGAGAGAAAGGACGGAAAGCATAAAAAGGGGAGGAGAGACGGCGCTCCCCCTCACTGTTACTCCGGACGTCCCTCCTCACACTGCTCCTCCGGACGTCACTCGCAAACAGTGCTCCTCCGGGCGGCACCGCGCGGAAGCCGAGATCCAGTCAACGCTACGCCTCGCAGCAGTATCTTCGGCGACCATCGGTTGCAAGTGAGTCTGAAGCGGACACATCAGAACGCATCTCCCTTCACCATGTAACCACGCCTCATATCCACCCCTAGCCGCCAGTTGCAATTATGATCTATACTGGTCGTTCCGTTTGTGCGGGTGCCACCCCGGGTATGGTCCAACCCTTAGTAGACATTTACCGGTCGGGGGAGGGAGTACGTTTATTTAGTCAACATCGCCCACCCGGTCTAGATCATACCGTGGCGCGATAATGGCGATGTTCGACGAACTATACGTCGATCCGAGATTGTAAATACGTTGGGTCAAATGTTTTGTTTTTTTTTTGCGGGCGAGGTGAGCCCGCCCGGCTTCTCAGGCCCGGCAGGATATGTGGGCATTGAATTGCGCTTCAGGATTATCCTTTTTTTGGGGGGGGGGCATCAATTATGCATCAGGCATCTAAAGTGGCCTACTCCGGTTTTTCAGTTAGTGGGGAGGGGTAGATTTTAAGCCTAAGCGGTTTCATCCGATACAAGGGGTCAATGAGTTTGAGTGCAGGAAAGATTTTGTAGCCGCTTGGGGGCTCGCTCCGCCCCAAAACTGTGTGAATAACTTGTTAGGTTACCGGTCGATTTAGTTTTCCGTTCCTTTTTTTTTTTGAATCATTTGCTTTTGTATTGCGAGTTTCATATCTTCTTGTTTGATTGAATATATCTTGGAAAAGTACTCATATCTGTTGGGGATATTAGGGAGGGAATGGTGAACGAGGAGACCAAACGAGAGCGTGTAGGCCGTTTCTTCGCGGAACACGAACAACGGCGGAAAAAAAAAAAAAACACACATGCAGTATCACACCGAGTCGTTGTTGTCCTTGAGGCCGTCGTTAAAGTTCTAATTCTCGGAATACTGTCTACTGCGTTACTCTCACACTTGTTAACGATGCGACATACCTAGTACTGTAAAATAGTGGATGAGTTTTTTTTTTCGTTCTTTCGTAGTGCTTTCAAACCCAGGTCGAACCCCGTCTCCAAGGAAACTCATACTCTTCCCAAGGCCTGTTTATTTTTCGACGGCGGCAAAACGCTCGGACATGGCCTTCATATCGCGGCGCAGTTTCCGCCCCGGCTTGCCGTCGGCGGCCAACGCCAGGACGCGCCGCACACTAGACGGGCTCATATCCGGCCACCGTCGGAGCCGAGAGGCTAGGTCGGCGACCGTGTCTTGGGCAGCGCTCGTCGCCAGGCAGGCCTCATCTAGCTGGCGACGAAGAGCCGTCAACTCGGCCTCTCGGGCGGCAGACAGGGCCTCAGCGACCTCCAGCTGCCGAGACACGGCGGCTAAGGCTGACACCTCCTGGGCCAGGCGGACCTCTAATTGGGCTTCCCGCTCGCCGGCCGCCCGCAGCCGTCTCTCCAGATCATGGAGATTCCGGGCGGACGACCGGCGCTCCCGCTGGAGCGAGCGGGTCATCCCTTGCAGTAGGCCCATGAAGGCGGCCCTAGCCTCCCCCGCTAGCTCCACAAAGGGAGACGGGAGTTTTATTGCCGCTCGCAGAAGTAGAAAGGGGGTGAGAATATCACCGTTCCGAGCCCAGTTCAGGTAACGTGTGCCGTGGTCACGTAGGACACGGGCACACGTATTGACGACCCTGGGAAGAGAAGAAATGCAACGGTGTTAGGAGCAGTCGACCAGAGGAACGAGTAAGCTAAGATTGACTTCACTAGGCAACAAACCATTAACAGACGTGGGAGAAGCGCTGCAGTGAAAAAAAAAATTAAGTGACCACATGGAACTCACCTCGCCATCTCAGCGCTCCCGTTCGGTCGGTCCGGGTGGAAGCGGGCCTGCAGCTGGCGCAGGCGTCGGCCGACCTCTGTCGAGAATTCAGCCGAAGATATCCGGCCTGGGTCGACCCCGAGCACGAGCTCAGGGACCCACACAAGGTTCCCTTCGGCGTCCATTAAGTCCTCGGGTGAGAATGCCGGAGGGGCCGCAGGGGCCTCACCGTCGGGGACTTGGTGCGCCGACATTTCAAAAAGACACCACTTGGGGGCTCGGCTCCTCCGCACTCCGTTAAAGATGGTCAACTGAAGGGGGAGAGTGCCCTCAACCCCGACGGGGTCCCAGAAGTGGCCGAGCCCGTAGGGCCCACTCGCTCAATATGGGCGGAGTCAGCCGGCACGGCCGTCAGTGATTGGCGCAGTTTTATTCGGGGGGAGAGGTACCGCGTAAGGGACGGGCCCGGCTACACTAATTTCGGAGAGCGCGGGAGTGACCAGGCTGACCCCGAAGCACCTGAACTGATTCCACATCCTCGTCGGCTGGCCAACTCGCGGCCGAGTTATTATCCTGCCTTAAGACACTGCAGCGCTCGAACGGGAGCTGTTTGATTGTCGTCCGGTCAGAACGGACCGGGTTATGATCCTGCCCTAAGACAATGCAGCGCTCGAACGGGAGCTGTTTGATTGTCGCCCGGTCAGAACGGACCGGGTTATGATCCTGCCTTAGGACACTGCAGCGCTCGAACGGGAGCTGTTTGATTGTCGTCCGGTCAGAACGGACCGGGTGATGATCCTGCCCTAAGACAATGCAGCGCTCGAACGGGAGCTGTTTGATTGTCGCCCGGTCAGAACGGACCGGGTTATGATCCTGCCTTAAGACACTGCAGCGCTCGAACGGGAGCTGTTTGATTGTCGCCCGGTCAGAACGGACCGGGTTATTATCCTGCCTTAAGACACTACAGCGCTCGAACGGGAGCTGTTTGTTGTCGTCCGGTCAGAACGGACCGGGTTATGATCCTGCCTTAAGACACTGCAGCGCTCGAACGGGAGCTGTTTGATTGTCGTCCGGTCAGAACGGACCGGGTTATGATCCTGCCTTAAGACAATGCAGCGCTCGAACGGGAGCTGTTTGATTGTCGTC